ATGGAGAATGGTTTATTTAACTCTCAGGAAGTGCAGCTTTTCTTCAGTCTGCATCACGAGCCACATTAACATGATCATTAAATCAAGACGTCTCCTGGATACAACCAACATAACTAAATGACACAAAGGTCCTCAGGTGATACTAAATAGTTTTTTTTATTGACTGATATACACAGTGTGTTGTCCATTACGCGTTTGAAACGTTTCATTTGTCAACTCGCGGGCATTTTCTGCCATCTGCTGGACAAAGTGTTGAACATCCTCCTGTGGGTGTTTGAGGGGAAATGATCACATGATGAAGAGAACTCTGCTGCAGTGCTCTTTTGAAACTTTGAAGCGTGTTGTATTTTTGACTCTCACACACACACACACACACACACATTACATTGCCTTAGAGACGTGCCAAAATGCTGACTGAAGACGTATCTCAGCAGAGCACAGGTGTGAGATCACATTAACGATGGCTGAATTCCATTTAGCTGCTTCAGTTTCAGGGTGCTGGTGTTGTTCTTGCTGGTTCACTCCAGACAACTCAGAGGTCGGAATATTTCCTGTTGAAATGTCCAACTTCTGGTGCTTCACACAGCTTTACTCTCTGCAGAGCGGCCTACACATGTTTTGGGGCATTGCTCAAATAACCTTTGTGCAGAGAAGATAACTTTCAGAGACTGTTTACCGTATCAGATAATTAATAAAGTTGACATCAATTTACATACAGAACTTGTCAAATGTATTTTTAAGTAACCTTTTACTTGATGCTTTACCGTTTACAATGCGTGCTTCCGTTGCTGTTTGACGTCAGGCAACTGCTTCTTTTGCAAAGTTCACAAGGATGTCCAACCTGGAGTTGTATTGTACTTTTTCTAGTTGGAAGTCTGACAATTTTGAGTTTTCCGTTGTCTGGAATTGTTAGAGCCATTGTTAATGTTATCAGTGACACCTGCTCTTTTCAATGACGCATCAAAAAGTCTATTGTGATGAAGACCAATTGATTTTTTCACGGAGACTGAAAAACATTTCAGTTTCAATAACAAAAAGTAAATACATTTCACAGGCTTTTATTTTGTAGTCATGTTGTTGGTGTTGATTTCTCTCTCACAGATTTTGTGTTTTCTGGTTTTACGTCATATTCAGTTCAAACCTTTGTTGTCAGCTGTTTTTGCTCCTTTTCATTTTGTTGGTATTGATCACTCCTCCATGAATTAATGTGTTCATCTTTGTTGCTTTGATAATCGATGCCACAGTTTTATGTTCTTGCTTTTATGCTTTCTGATTCACTGCTAGACACACAACGACAGAGGAATGACATGAAACTCATTGAAATGCATTCATAGAAACGATTAAGCAATACGCATGTTATTGATAATAAGAATAAATTATACCGATCAAGATATTTGACCATCACTTCTGTGTAGATCAGGTCAGAATGTCATCAAAGAGGAATCGTTTATATACCAGTAGTATTACATTCAGACTTTAATCTGCAAAAACTTTGATATGTAAACTATTTAATATGCAGGAAACGACTACACTCTTAGAAATAAGGGTTCCAAACGGTCTCTTCCTGAAGGGCTGAGGTTCTACCCAGAACCATTTGCTTCTGAAGAACCCTTTGTTGGGTAAAAATAGTTAACCAATGTTCATTAACAACGCTTTTCAACCAAAGAACCCTTTTTGGTAAAAAGAGTGGGTGTTTTCTAGATTAAACCCTTGGAATATGAAAGGGTTCTCGGTAGAACTACCTGGTTGGGTTCTAGATAAAACCATGAGACTATAATAGGGTTCTCGGTAGAACCCCCTGGGTGGGTTCTAGATAAAACCATCTGACTATAATAGGGTTCTCGGTAGAACCCCCAGGTGGAAAGGTTCTGGATAGAACCACAAGAGAGGGTTCTGGTTGGAACCTTTCACAGATGGTTCTAGGTATAACCCTTTATGTTGGTTTCTAGGTAGAACCATCTGAAAGGGTTCAAGGTTTTATGAAAGGTTCTCCCAGGAACCGTAAAGGGTACTGAGGACAAGCCGATGAACCCTATATAGTTCTAGTTAACACCTCCATTTCTGAGAGCGTACTTTGAATCCTGATCACAATGGCGACTAAACGATTAAGTCATTAGAAGCTAAACAGCAATAAGTAGGATGTCGGTTTTAATGAAGGTCTGCTCATCATTGCTTTAATGTGAGTTTCAAGCCAACATAAGGTGCAGCAGCATAGAACAGAGAAGTCTCAACAACAATAACACCATTTACCACATACATGATAATAACATCAGCAACGAGGATCAGTGGTCACAAATAGACTTTCACTGACTAAACGACACTTATCGCCACGAGACAAATAAATACGCTTTCTGCTATTATATCTTTTTTTGAGTGGTAGTTTGTGTCCGATATGGTTTCGACACAAAAATGTTAAATGAACTAGAAACCGTCAGAGACCCGCCAACATCGCTGTCTTTAAGAGACTGTGGGCTCAGTCTCCTAAAGCTGGAGATGCTGGTATCAAATCAAACGTAATGAACCCATTGGTCCCGATCAGGTCATGCTGGCCTGTCGGGAAGGCGGCTGAATAACGTTCCAAAGTTGTGCTAGTTATTGGCGAGGGGAAACTGGCACGGCGACCTTTTGAAGGGGTTCCTTGACCTTTTACCTCAAGATATGTGAATGAAAATGGGTTCTGAAACCCACAAGACCTCACTTTACAGACATGTTACTTTTTGATAGTCACAAGCAGTTTAGGCAAAACCCATACCGCTTATTGCACGCAGTATGAATGTGTTATTTTCATCTATTCTAAGGATAGCAATTTTTTGGATTTGATAACCTTTATGACATAGATTTGGTGTTAAATTTAGCAATTTCTTACCACTCGATAAATGATTAAAAATAGCACATTAAGACACCAAGACCTTGAATGACAACATAAAAAGCAATGCTGTTGACATTTGGAGATTTCTGCAAGAATTGCATTTTTTTTTTGCGTCTGGATGGAGAACACTTCTGTTGTGTAAGCTGCTCAGAACCCCCCTCATTGTCAATATACCAGGGAAAGCCACACAACCTCTGAATGCCCTCGGTCTCTAGTTTGTGGTTGTAAAGTGTCAGGAGGCTGTGATTATCCTCGAGGTCACAAGAGATCATCATCATGCACTGCACAGTTAACCTCATCAGGTTTTACCTCACACCCACAAGGTGGCAGCATCCTCTAAACAATTTCCCCAGAATAAAGCACACAACCTGCAGGGAGCCATTCATAAAGTCAGCCGCTCATTGTAGTGTGATGCTCCATGTTGGACACTGAGAGGCAGCCTTACCTTCTCCATTAACTTTCATACTTAACCTGTTCTGAGCATCAGGAGACCTTTTACTTGCCAAAAAAAAAAGATATTAGCTGTTATAGTAGTGTGCGATGTCAGATTTACTGATATAATATTTTACTCAGCGGTGAGTTCAGCGACGTTTTCTTAACATTTTAAATCGCCTGTGGTGTCATTTGCACTGCGTTCCAAATCGTATACTTTTTAAAATTTTTAGTGCACACTGCAGCTGCTCTTACAAAGTACTCACTGATGTAGTATGCATTCATTTTGGACGTACCACTTCATCATAACATTGCACCTTCAACTTTGACCCCTCTCGCTCATATATATCAGCTCTGCAGAGAGGATTGTGGGTCAGAACAGCCAGAAAAAGCATGCTGGCTGTCATACTGCAATATGTGACCGGACGCAGTAGAACATCCTGGTATTTTCTGACATACTGTGTACTGGGACATACTAAATCGTATTTCTGGGATACCAAATAGTATGGTAGTATGGTTATTAGACAGTTAGTGCACAGTATATTTTGCTGATGCAAAATAAAAAAAACCTGTAGCTAGCTGAGTCCTATCCTCTAATATTGTCTTTAAAAGTATTAATAGAAGTTTATAATGCTTATAATATATGACTCATTATACAGACAAAACTAAAGCTACATGTCTTTCGCAGATCAGATGCTAAAGATGAGAAGTGTAACTTGTCCCCGAGTGTTTGGTGTCATAGCTGACTGTGCAAGCATGCAAAGTGAATGGCTTCCTCCAGTGTGAGCTTATTGATTTGTCCAGAGCCGACTAATAAGCAACACCTGTATAGCATCTCCTCTGTCTGTCTGTGTTGTTTACGTGCACAGATACAGTGTGTAGCAGTTCAATTCAAATGTATTTGTACAACGTCATATATACGAAAGCGGTGCTTTGCACAAAAACAACAACAGAAGAACAGCAAAATGTGCAAAAAAAACAGAGATGTACAGAAATACACATACAGATGCATACAAACATGTGTACTGTACAGATAGGGTGTGTTCATTTAAAAAAAGGAGGTTCTTGAGTTTGTTTTTTTTAAACAGCACAGTGTCCAAAAGTCTAAAATCAGCAGGCAAACTTGTTCCTTTCGTTAAAGCTGCACAAATACCGAAAGCCATCTCGCTGGACCTTCTGACAACATGTCCGAGATGTTCTGCGGAGCAGGAGCCAGTGCTTTGTTAACCAAAAGAATGAACTTTTGAATTGAATTCATTGGGAAAGAAAGGAACCTGGCGCTCAAACCTGTGTCCTCCTGCTCGTATACTTGATGTCTCCTTGTGTGTTTTCTAATCTAGAGAGAGTACTTTCTATCCACCTCCCTGTCTGATGGACTTCTGCTACATGAAGGTGCACTGAGCTCATGCTGACTTGTGCATGTTGTAGCAAAAAAAAGATGAAATACTGTATATCTCCCTTCAAGTTTATTTATATGTCTCACACAAAAACACGGTTTAAAAGTGATTTGTGATAGTGAACAATGCAGTAGTATTATAGTCTGTGGCTGGGCAGCGTGTCAAATATCACATTTGAAATTGGGAGTAGGCTCGAGCTCTTCCCGAGTTAATTAAAACGCCCCCCTGATTGGACGGGCGGATAATCCCCGCGGGGGGGCCCCCTCGTGCTCTTTACTAACTTGCGAGCGGGGCAGAGCGCGAGTCACACAGTCCGCCCGAGGCGAGGGGGAGGGCACGAGAAAAAGAAGCGCGAGAGAAAGAGAAAAAAAAAAAGGGACACCGACCGACACCGAGCGCTCCGAACCTCAGCGAGCACAATTAAAAAGAGAGAAGTGTTGCTGAACGTGGGCTATGCGCGCAACAAGGGGGGAGCGCAGCGCACAGAGGAGGTGAACGCTCGTAGAGAGGCTTCAGATCCACAGCCTCCTTCTTGAAGAGTCACTGCAGCTGACAGAGGAGAGGAGTGAAGGGGGAAGAGAGGGGGACTCCTAGAAAACAGCAACTCTTTGGGAGAGAGAACTACAGCGTGACAGTTTCCAAATAAAGGACAGAGGAAGCGGCGGAAGAGACCTGCTCAGCATCTTGTTCCGGAAGAGAAAAATGAATGCCAGCGAAGAGAACCTGCTCAAGTCCATCAGCAACGACGCGCTCCTCGACCTAACGCAGCGCTACGGCCAATCAGCCTTCGGGTTCGGTCCGGGCCACGGTCCCGGGAGTCCCAGCCGCTTCCCGCTCACGCCGGCCACCGATTTCCTCTCCGGGCAGACTGCGAAGTCCAACGAGAGCGGCGGAGAGCACACGAGCGACGACGAGGACGGCTTCGACTCGCTCGAGTCCCGCAAGAGAGGCTCGCCGTTCGGAGACGACAAGCCCGGGGGGCCCCTCGGCAAGAAGTCCAAGGAGCAGCGTTCCCTGCGGCTCAGCATCAACGCGCGGGAGAGGAGGAGGATGCACGACCTGAACGACGCGCTGGACGGCCTGCGCTCCGTTATCCCCTACGCCCACAGCCCCTCGGTGAGAAAACTCTCCAAAATAGCCACCCTCCTCCTGGCCAAGAACTACATCCTCATGCAGGCTCAGGCTCTGGAGGAGATGAGGCGGCTGGTGGCCTACCTGAACCAGGGACAGACCATGACCTCGCCCATCCCCACCGCCCTGGCGCCCTTTGGACAGGCGGCCGTCTACCCGTTCTCGGGCTCCGCGCTCGCCACCTGCGCCGAAAAGTGCACCACTTATTCCGGGACATCGGCGAGTCTCTTCAAACACTGCAATGACAAGCCTTGATTTGGTTTTCATTCTCTTTCCCGAACTTTTACCCAACCATGTCGATATCTCTCTCTCTCCTAGTTAATAAAAAAAACATGCTGTGGAAAATAAAACAAGTTTAGTCTAAAGGATAATCTTAAAATATTGTTCATTATACTGCAGTTGTTTCATCCCGATTTAACAAACGCTCCAGATAAAATGAAACACTTTGGGCCTTAAGATGGAGTCACTTTACACTAACCAGGCCATGTCCAAATTATGAGTTTGGGAACATTTCTTAGCAGGATTAAGTTATCTGATCTTATTTGTGATCTATGCAACATTCAACAACAACATTCAAAGTAGAAATGCGACCCAAGCTCCACTTATAAAAGAACAATTATGAAAGGACTTCCCTCGACTGACTGATGCTATGTGTGAGGAACAAATGTGATGATGGCTGATATATTTTCTGAAACGATGTGTTGACAATTTTTTTATGATTATTATGATCATTATTTTTAAGTTATTGCACATCTCACATGATTGTATTGTACAACTATTGTGGAAAATCACTTGCTCCGAGCCCGGCTATACTCATAACTGCAGCCTATTGAAGAGGCGTCTTTGGTTGTGTTGCAACATGGATTTCATATATTGTTTATATGTCTTTATAATTAAAAACACATATCTATGCTTGGACCCCGGTTTGCTTCATTTCAACAAGCATTTCACAGCTTTTTTTGCCTCATCGAGATCACATTGAATAACAACTTTAAACGCCAGCCACACTCGCATACGACAGGCCTATACGTCATTTATTTATTTTCAAAGGATAATTTCAAACGTATATATTAGCTTATTGTGTTCTGCTTGTGGACATTATATATGATAGTTTAAGACTCTTTCAGCTAATTCGCTTTTAATGTAGGACGTTAACAGGCTGCAATAAAAAAAGGGTTCAAAATATAAGGAGTTGACAACTTATTTTCCTTGCACGAGAAGCCTCTGACACCAGGAGCTGGGGGTCTGAACGAGCTCAGAGGCGCTGGTGGGGCCCGGTTTGGCACGCGCATGGGGTCGGTGGCGCTGAGGGGAAGGGCGCAAGAGCCGCCCGGGGCACCCGGGACCTGTCTCTGGGTATTTGGGTGATTGCACGCGGGGCTCTTACACTCTGGACATGCTATTAACACGATTTCAGCTCCTGTCTCGCTGCTCGACTTAATTCAGTGAACGTTGCAGGGGCCAGTCTTCAGGTTCTGACTTGTGGGAGGACGAATTTAAAAAAAGAAGTAGTGGTGTTTATATTTCCTGAAAACGTGTGTGTGTTTTCTTTGTCTGTCATTGTCTTTATTTGTCTGACAGAAGTCACCTTTACCTGGAATCTGACACTTCCTTGCTCTAGCTTTACTGATGTTTGTGCTCCTCTTTTTTAAGCTAAATAATTCAATTTAAATTCAGGATTTACTATATAAATACAAACACCTGATTTGATAACAGTAAGACATTTTGCAGCCTGCAAATTGACATCAGAGATGAGTGAAAATCATTTCCAACATAATGCACACAGCAGTTCTCAATTAGATTAATCTGCCATTACACTGAGTTCTCAAATATGTTTATTTTTCCTCATCACACCCAGTCCATAAAGTTTTGCAATTATAATCTCTTTTTTTCACGTGCTAACCCAAAATGAATCATTACTTTCAGTCCCACTGGTGCTCCTCTTATAATGTGGAAGGTTTGTGTTCTACACAAACTAATCCACGATGCCGTTTAGACTACATTAGACCATACATGTAGATCAGGCCAGTCTATCCATGCTAGTGAAGCGAGTGACTAAGTGATCCAACCCGGCCTCTCTCTTACAATTTAGCAGCGTGTCACAACAACGGGCCACCCATGGCATCTTAAATTGGCCCTCTGATGACACATGTCTTGTCTGAGACCCCCACGAGACAGTCGGGGCGGCGGCGATGAAATGTGACAAATGCTGCTGATGATGTGAGGGCTCTGGCCCTGCGCTCCATCAGTCTCCGTGCAGCCTAATTGCCATAAATGAGATGGTTCTTTTTTATTTATTTTTTATTTGCACGGGCGGTTGGGTGGTCACTTTCCCTCCATAGGCCCTCTAACGTCGAGCTGCTGAAAGATCTTTTATTGTGTCACCTTATTATCTTAATGGCCTTCAGAGTGCATGGTGGCAGTGTGTCATGTCGTGAATCTACACATGAAGACAGATCTGTACATTTTAGCTGGTCACATGGTTGTGTTTACTGACCCTTTAGCCTTCCAGCAAACATAAAATCCTCCTCATCTTTCACTGTAATGAGAGAATTATGGGACGTGTAAGCGACATTTCTGTCCTGTATTTTGTCTTTATAGACGATCGCATGCAGAGTATTAAAACAATATCATTAAATAAGTGCTGAAGCCTTGTGGCTAGTGTGTTTATGTTACTCTGTGTAACGTGTGTTTAATGCGCATTTGATGAAACGTTCTCCTTTTTAATTCTGTTTTCCTTAATGAAAACACAATCTATGTCTCTTATTCCATTTTGCATTCTACAACAGCAAATTAATACAATTCGGCGTTTCGACGAATGAGGCTGGTCAGAAATTGTGTTTATACAACGTACAGACCAAAAACAAACGTACAAGACGAGGGGATTCTTAGCAATACAATTAGAACTGTACAAACAACCGTTCATTTTTGGATGCAACAAAGCAAACAGATCAATGCCCCAGTGTGCCCTGGGCATGCCCCAGCAGAAAGCCTGCCATGTGTGTCAACATGTTAGAAAACAAACAGCAAGTGAGCCTGAATGAAACACTCTAAAAGGCTGCAATAATTCAAAAACGTCTTGAAAATTATGATTGAAATAAACACAATACAATTTACACTTTTAGACAAATATGCACACTTAAAATATCTGATGGAAATATCTGAGTGGATTGTAATTGATTTGTTCTGACCGGCGTCATCACACAAACACACTTACAACCAGGTGGAGTATTGCAGATGAACATCATTTCGTATGTAATTATAATGTCACGTTTTCAGCACATTGTTGTATAAAACACCAAATAATCCATGTTTGAGCCCCTGTTGAACATTTATGTAGATGTTTGAGAAAAGGTTTCAAAAACAAATATGATGTTGTTACGAGCAGATATGAGGACATCTGTGAGAACGATTAACGTACAGCATTGGTCAACAATTACAACTTCTGCAGCGAGGACATATTTTACATTATCACAACTGTGTTTTAACTATAATGGCATTAATTATCTTTCATACAGCAGAACTCTTCATGTGATTGATAAACCATTTATTGAATGTTTACACTGCTTATTAAAGGCTAAACATGAGTTGTGGGGAGTAGTAGTATAATATGAATGCTAGACTAAACAGCATAGTAGAAGACATTTTTCTCGGTGTCTTCGTGCAGACAAACACGCGGCGCTATACAGTCAGTGCACTACGACTCTCTCACAGCTCAGTGTGGTGCAGGACTGCGGACGGACTGTGTGATGTCTGTAAACATTTGTGTTTGCTCTCAGTGGGATAGAAAGGGAGTGATTTCATTAGCATGGCTCGGAGCTTTGAGGTATGTTTGTGCGGTTTTCTTCTCCAACCCGATGGTATAGTACTAAAACCATATGCCCTTAAGTGCGTACCTCTGCCTAATGCATCTGACAGCGCTGTTTTCTCTAATTAAGTTCTCTCTATGTGCAAGCTCATGTGTCTGATGCACATTGTAGCACTTCATCTCTCTCTCACACACAGACACACACACACACACACACACACACACACACACACACACACACACACACACACACACACACAGACACAGACTGTACATACAAACAGGGGCCTCGGAGGAGAATGAACATCAGCTCTGATTATGCTTACAGTGGCGGATAAAGGGGGTTTATAGAACATTAGGTCTTTTTCTATTATTACAATTTGCTCACAGAAGCATAGTTGGGGCTTTGAAAGCCATAGTGACGAAGAAGATTTGTCTGTTTCGGGGCAGGTTCGTGACGGGGGGGGGGGGGGGGGGGGACAGATAAACAATAGGGCTGAACAAGTGTGTGTGAGGTGGCAGGGAGAAAGAGCGTATAGGACGCGGAGGAAGAGATGGTGCCTCGGTGTTTTTTGTTCCCGGCGGTGGCACTGTAAGGACCCCACCTGCCCATCACCCACGGACCCCCCAAACTTCTCCGTTCAGCTATGACATCACCCTCTGTTTGGCCCCTCGCAGCCCCGCCTTGTCGGAAGCGATGAGCGGGTGAGTCAGTTGGTTCTGAGGAGCCATGTGATTCGGGGCGACGTTGCTGCGAGTGCAGCGGTGTGGGCCCTTCATTCGTTAATCAGACGTCTAAAGGGTGTGTGTGTGTGTGGGGGGGTGTGTGTCTGTTTGTATGTGTCTGTGCATTTTGTGTGTATGTGTGGGTGTGTGTGGGTGTGTGTGTGTGTGACTGTGTTTTGCGCTCATATGGCCGCAAACCCTCAGAACATGGCAGTCAGGCAAAGCGTTTTGCGTATCGCCACAAGGCACCTGACACCACGCGTGGTCGACCCAGACTGCGTGTCGGGGGCCAAACCGAGCCGGGTGGGAGGGAGCGGAGAGA